CTGGGCCCTGGCACCTATATCACAGGCACCTTGATCATTCACAAACCAAAAAGAAAGTATCGTATATATCTCACCTTCAAGGGGACTTTAAAACATCGTTCAGATGGGATGACAGAGGTTGAATAATTGGTAAAGGCAAGTCTGTTCCTTGAATCAATATAAACACATTTTTTAAAAATTCAACGGAAGACTGGATTTGGGGGATATTTATAATTGTTATATGAAACAGACTGTTCCAAGGACAATTATAATTGGGAGACAAGATTAATCAAGGTTAAGTAATCTTTTTAAAAGCTATCTATTTTCTGGAAACCTTTAATATATCACTTTATATCATGAATTTCCAAGAGGGAGGTATAATTTGCATAATTTCTCAAACTTACTTGAATAAAATATCCTTTGTTCCCAGAATATATCAAAAGACTAATACTGTCAGGACCATATTTTTTTTAGATTATGTTGGAGAATGTGAAAATAAGAGCACAAATAGAGTTTTTTTAAAATTTCTGTAGAAACAGTGTTCTTATAAAAATGTAATGGCATAACCTCACTTCCAATTATGACATCTTATGACTGCTCTAATGTGAACTATTGCACTATTTCCTCCATGAATATGTTAATCTGAAAGGTAATGCCATTGTGCCAAACTTTCTGGATCTTTATTTTTGAATTCTTAATGTTGAAGGACTCGATATCTATATTCATATCTATAATTATAGCGGCATAGATAAGAAAGTATATAGATATAGTTGTCTCTAATGATCCTTTACGCTCTTATGTGATTGTAAAGAGAACAAGGGTGATTATGCATTAATTTATTCAGCAAGCTTTTATTGCATTTCAAGACCTTGAACCACAGTGTATGGAGCCCCTGCCTTTAAGAAGCTTATGAATTTTTAGAATAAATTATACCACTATATAAATAAATGAATATATAGGAAATTAGTCATAGGTCTCATGTGAAAAATAATGTAAAAAGATTTTAAAGAAAGAAGAGATGGCTTCTGGCTGTGGTTTTATGAGGCTTTTGTCAAGGACCGTATTGCACAGATGAAATTTGGGCAAGCAGAGATGGCTATGGATGGGTCATAAATTCAGCTAAGGAAAATTCCTGAAAGGAAAAGAAACATAGGAAAATATGAAATACAATTGAGGTTGGTTGCAGTAGGAGGTGACCAGCTGGATAAAGGAAAAGGAGTACTGAAAAATTCATAGTGAGCCTGGTTGTCATAACCTTAAATGCTAGGCAAAGAGTTAAAGGGCAACCAGCAGCTTCTGGAGAGTTTTGAATGCAAGGTCATATGACCTCAGCACAAAGAAGTACAGGTCTCAAAATGTAGCATGGATTAGACCTGAAAAGGCTTTCACTCAGAAACCGGAGATGAAGATAATAATAGTTAAGGTTTGCCACTGAGCTATAGCTACCATTAGCGTTATTGGGATAAGTCAGAAATGAGTTCCAGCTCTAGACTCTTAACACTCAAAAATTCTGTTGCATGCACAGCAAAGCTTTAAAGATATATGTCTTATTTTTGCCTCTTGGACCTAACCTTCTGTAAAAGGGCATGTTACGTGCCCTGTCTT